AGCCCAGCCCAGCGCCTCCATGCCAAGGCCCAGCATAGAGAGCCTCAGGCGCAAACTCGCTCCATGCCCATTTAAAGGTCCCAGGAATGGACTTGGACAAGGACCAGAGGCCAGCCTCCGATTTAACCCCATCGCTGCCTTATTTATTTATAGTGATTGATTGATTTCATTTTATATGCCACCTTTCTCCCAAATCAGGCCCGAGGCAGCTTGCACACACATACAAAATAATAATAATAATAATAATAATAATAATAATAATAATAATAATAATAATAATGTTCAAACACAACCACCAGACGGTACAGTTTGAAAACACAATCAAAACACCGCCTGAATATGGCGAGTCAAAAAAATGTAAAATCCTGAAAGATGCTTAAAAAAAAGATTAAAAGCATATCAAAACAAACACAGCGAGGTAAGGCGGGGGGGGGGGGGGGGGGGGGGGGGGGGGGGGGGGGGGCTCCCGGCAAGATTTGTTTGTATTTCGGTTGCCTATGGCAAAAGATCTGATGGAGTTTAATAACTTTTTTCTCCACATCAGCCTAGGTAGTGTAAGAGAGGATCAGCTGGAATTTGGGTTGTGAGATTCTGGAGGTAGCCAACGCAAAGGAGAGGTGTTGTTGTTGTTGTTGTGTGCCTTTGAGTCCTTTCCGTCTTACGGCGACCCTATCATGGGGTTTTCTGGCAAGATGTGTTCAGAGGAGGTTTGCCATTGCCTTCCCCTGAGGAGGCTGAGAGAGTGTGACTTGCCCAAGGTCACCCAGTGGGTTTCATGGCCGAGCTGGGAATTGAACCCTGGTCTCCAGAGTCATAGTTAAAGTCCTAAGCCGGGTCAGCTCTGGTTAGTAATTGGTTGGGAGACCACCAATGAATACCAGGGGATTTCCTTCAGAGGAAAGGAACTGGCAAAACCATCTCTGAGGATTCCTTGCCTAAGAAAACCCTACAAAATCACTATAAATCTGCAGGCAGTTTGAAGGCAGAGAGGCAGAGAAAAATTGGGTTTACTTTTTTAAATCATAAAGTGGGCCAAATCTGCCTATCTGCCCCACTTTCCCTATTTCCACTCCTCGTTCCAAAGGTGGATGTGATAAAAAATATATATATCTACATTTCCTGATCTATGCAAAGAGGTGTGTTACCCTAGATATCAACTGCTTCCCAATTCAATCCCAAAAGGTTTAATCCTACAATTGATCAGTCTAGTTTCCATTAACAACAGCGGCACCTTGTGTCCATTCTAGATATTGCAGGACACATACCAGGACAGGAACAAAGAATAAGAAAAACTGATTGAAAAGTCCTATAAAATCAGAAAGAATAGGAACAAAATCTAGGACTCTCTGATTGTTTTAAATCAGTCTGGATGAGCCCTCATAGGAGCAACAGTTAACATTCAGCACAAAATGGAGAACAGAGATTATTGTGTCTCATTGTTGTTGTTGTTGTTGTGTGCCATCGAGTTGTTTCCGACTTACGGTGACCCTAAAGCAATGACTATCGTGGGGTTTTCTTGGCAAATTTTGTTCAGAGGTAGTTTGACATTGCCTTCACCTGAGGCTGAGAGAGTGTGACTTGCCCAAGGTCACCCAGTGGGTTTCACGGCCAAGCTGGGAATTGAACCCTCGTCTCCATAGTTGTAGTTCAACACTCAAACAACTACATTGCGTTGGCTCTGCTTTGTGTCTCTTTTAAAATTAATAAAATTTCCTCTGGCATGTGTTTTCATGGATTTCACCGAGAACAACATTTACGTCTTCCAACTGCTCAACAGGCACAATATTCAAGCTTCGAGTACAAATGCAGAGTTCCATAGATGCAGGGATCAATTGTGAGCAATTTAGCAAATTTTAAGCTTCTATCCCATGTACGCTTCTCTAGAAGTACATTCCACTTGAATACTTCGAGGCTTATTTTTCTACAAAAAAAGGCACTGCGTTGCCATTTGCTTTCAAAGCATTTTGTATGAATTTTCTCACTAGTATTGCTCTTTGAAACTGTAAGAAGCCTTGAGTCTCAATTCTGGGAGGAAGGTGGGATACAAAGAAATATAATACAGGTTGAGTCTTGCTTATCCAAAATGCTTGGAACCAGAAATATTTTGGACTTTGGCATATTTGGATATACATATGAATATGTGTGTGTGTGTATTATAGTATATATAGTATAGTATATTATAGTATAGTATATATATATAGTATAGCATATAGTATAGTATATATATATATATAGTATAGCATATAGTATAGTGTGTGTATATATATATATATATATATAGAGAGAGAGAGAGAGAGAGAGAGAGAGAGTGTATATATAGAGTATATATGTGTGTGTGTGTGTGTGTGTATACATATATATATGTGTATATTATATGTGTTTCCAACTTATGGCGACCCTATCACCTTTGCAGAATCTGCAAATGAATCTACAAAGAAGGAATCTGCAAAGAAGGAATCTACAAAGAAGAAATCTGCAAAGAATCTGTACAGAAGGAATCTACAAAGAAGGACACTGCAAGAAACAAGAAAGAAACTGCAGAGATGGAATCTGTGAGGAATCTGCAAAGAAGGAATCTACAAAGAAGGAATCTACAAAGAAGGAATCTGCAAAGAAGGAATCTACAAAGAAGAAATCTGCAAAGAAGGAATCTGAAAGGAAGGAATCTGCAAAGAAGGAATCTGTAAACAAGGAATCTGAAGGGAAGGAATCTACAAAGAAGGAATCTGCAAAGAAGGAATCTGTAAAGTAGAGACCTGCAAAGAATCTACAGAAGGAATCTACAAAGAAGGACACTGCAAAGGAGTCTGTAAACAAGAAAGAAAATGCAAAGAAGGAATCTGCGAGGAATCTGTAAAGAAGGAATCTGAAGGGAAGAAAACTGCCAAGAATTGGCAGAGAAGGCATCTACAAAGAAGGAATCTGCCAAGAAGGAATCTGTAAAGAAGGAATCTGCCTTTCCCCCTCTGGAAAATCTTTCTTTCTTTCTTTCTTTCTTTCTTTCTTTCTTTCTCCCTGAGCTCAGAAAAAAAGCCAAGAGGGTTGGCCAGAGGGAGCGAAAGGAGGAGCCGGGGGAGGTCCAAAAAAAGAAAGGAAAGGAAGGGGAGGAAAAAAGAAAAAAGAAAAAAAGAAAAGAAAAGAGGAGGAAGGGAGGAGAGAGGAAAGTGAAGGGG